CTAATGTAACAGCTGTGTGGAGGGAGAGATTGATAACAGAAGCTTTGTTTATCGAATCAACTGAAGAGGATACGTGTAATAGGAATGATTCAACACGTGTCCAGACGGATATCTGGAAACTTTTACTACCCCTACGACGACAAATGGGAGGGAACAAAGAAAACTATAAAACTCAAGTTTCGAAGTTGTGTGATTATAATTGATGATGTGATTATGAACAAGAATAAATTGTGTTCGGAACTCGGTCATCCAGTAAATAATACTGTTTCACCCACTGTGTGTGGTATATCTAATAAACAAATTGATATAAAATTACATACTACCACAGTGCCCAAGTTTTACACATATATTATTGAGGCTTCTTTTCCACTGTGATTCTATTTTGCGCTGAAACTTCCACACCTTCTGTACTCATTTGTTTTTGTGTTTTTTTTTTCAAGTCCGATGAATGATAAGAATAAACCACGTGGATGTGGAAAACTTACTACTTATGTAAAAGAACCAGTTTCGAAAGGTCGTACAAGAGGTAAGTCAAACCGCATATTTCATTCAAATGAATTATTTACCGATAAAATAGTTTATTTATTTATTCAATTACAACTCTTACAGGTGATCTAAATTTAGAAATAAGCGCATTCCATTTTTATAACAGTATTATTATTAGTATTCTCCGAGGTTCCGAGTGACATATATGTATACGGTTTGAATAACGTATCTCCTCTTCATTGATATAAGTATAAAAACTTGAGCACTGTGGGAGAGCATAACTCCATTATGGACAAGATTTTATTTTGATAAAATCACACAGTGTTTGTTATACAGTAAGTAATATTTACTGATGACCACGTTTCGAGCACAAATTATCGCCACTCATAATCATATCAAGTCACTCACTCACACAACTTTCTTGCTTCATTTATATACATGAGTAGAAATTGATGATAAACATTTGAATAAAATCAATATAAGATGAAGTACATTCGGAAATAATAATATGAGTGTTATCAATCAAATACAATCAGATGGGAAATTAGACGAGTGTTTTTATAGTCAAAATAAGCAACTTGTTAGAATGTTATGATGTAGATGAATTGAATTGAAATAGAATTTTGAGATGTTTTATTATCCTCCTCTGATTTGACTGGTGGTAATAATATCTTCCAAACATATTTCTGGTATTTGCATTGAGTCATTTCTGTTGCGAATGTGTTGAGTGTAGATTCACTCGATGAACCAGGATTCAGTAATCAATCTCTCTCTCCACCTACATAGATTACTTCTGAGAATCTTAACCCTCTCTCACCCTATTGTGTGGTTGTGTGTTTTATGTATACATTGCAATCGCTGAGCTTTTTGCATGAATTAGAGTGGCATTCAAACCTACAAACTCACTCATTCAGTACAACCTCTGTAGGCTAAAGGACCCGGTGGACCCAATTAAACAAAATGACATAATTTACAAAGTACCTTGCAATCACTGTCACTGAGGACAACTACATAGGTCATTCTAGTAGATCAGGAGTAGTGAGATTACCAGCACGTGAGAATTTAGCTAGGGTTAGAATGAATGACCCAACGAAGATAAGTAATTTAGAAAAAACACTCAGCACTACATTGCACTGCATGCATTAACACACAACCACACAATAGAGTGGGTGGGAGAGGGTTAATATTCTAAGAAGTAATCTACATAGGTGGAGAGAGATTAATTACTGAATGCTGGTTCATCGAGTGAATCTGCACC